TATATATATGTCATGTAGGGAGTCGTCAAATTACTGCTATCATGGATTTTTTAGGTATCCAAGAAGGAGTGGTATTCATTTCAAATGCTAAAGCAAGATCTCACTTGAGAGTTTAGTTAAATAGCTTTATCTTTGTGCGTTTTTTAGAGAGATCAATGTGTAAACCTCGTTCCCAGATGACTGGGCTCTTCACTTCTAGAAATTTACCATTGAGCTGTGGGTGGTAGTTAACCGTAGCATCAGCCGAAGTCACAGCTCCTTTCCCTTGGCCGGCTTGAGTCAGTACTTATTTGAATACTGCTTCGACTGTTCTTATGCTTAATAACTGGATGATCTTATCCGAGTTGACCGAAGTTGTAAACCGTTTAACAAAATTGTTATGTCCCGTTTTAGTAGACTCTGACTTGTCGGATTGAGCAAGCACAAAGACCCGATTAGACCCGAGATGGCGGAGGCCGCATTCAATAACGATATTCAATTAAAAAAAGAACTAGATTGGTGCATCACAGCCCTTCGGAAAAAACTTCGAAAAGTTAACATTTCGAAAAATGAAGTAAAGAGTGTGATCAACGCACTTTCGGTTAGTATTCGTCCCTACATTAAAAAAGATTTTTACATGTAGTTGTTATGTGAAATTAATAATCGTATCGGCTGGAAATACTATGTATACAGAAATGTAATGATACTTTTTAAATCTGATCACTACATTGTCTAACGCTGAAATAAGCACATCGCAACGCAGACAAAAGAAGCAAACAATAACGGCATGTATGAACGAATGTAGAATAAATAGAACTGTACTTGGCATTTGTGTCATGTTTATATTCTGTTCTAGGTCTTGGAGAGCAAAAAAGCGCCTGCAGTCAAAAAGAAGATAGTAATGCGAAACGCACTAGGTGACTACCGTAAAAAGATGGCTGCTGAGGAAGATGGGCTTACCAAAAAAATTCTCGATGGGACACACATGATTGCCCAGTTCGATGCGACTGCTCAGCCATCGCTTAGTGCGCGAGCCCTTCACATCCACAAGTCGTCTACGACACCCCCGTCGGAGATACCATCAGCTCGGAATTCTTCTGTCGTAACATCACCAGCGACTTCATCGAAGTCTTCAACTCCTTCACCCATAAAACAGTATTCCACATCGTCACCCGTGCGTTCCGACGCGTCATCAACGGAATCACCGCCGAAATCCTCCACAGGTCATCCGTTAAAACCCTCGCTAGAATCCCCATCTAAGCCTTTTTCGGAGACATTGTCTAAGGCTTCTGCAAAATCACCATTAAAACCTAATTTAGGGTCAACGCCTAAATCACACTCAAAGTTGTCCTCAAATCCTTTGCTATTGGCGCTATCGAAGCTTAACACAGGGCTAGAACCTCAACGCGAAACTTGTTTCCCGAACACGTCCGATGAGCTGCACGCCGAAAAACCGTTTGCCTTCAATTTTGAAATCCCCCCCGAGGACCTTAACACGCCTTGAAGGAAGCCTACCAGTGAGGAATAATGGAAGAATAGAAGAACATCAGTTTCAGAAAAAAGATCGAGCAGAAAATTATATAATTCTACGTGGCAGTGTGCGTTAAGATCAATTGAATTGCCGCTCATTATTCAGCATTATACGAATGTACATGAGTGGCGTGCACAAAAAAAAAGAACAGATGATTGTATGGTATAAAACCTTAAGCGGGTATACTGAACTAAATAGGAAAATCACTCTGAAGACCAAGACCCATATAAGGGCTTCCATATAGACCATGTCTGACAAATGAGCGTGTCAAATGTCTATTATGAATATTTTGCTGTAAGATTTCTCATTAATCAGCAGAAATGTTTAAGGATATGATAAAGAATAATAAATTGTTATTTATTGTTCGAATGGTAGTTGCTGTGAGAGTTTATACATATATATATATATATATATATGCGCTATGTTTGGGCATTACGATAACTGCCAAGAACCGAAACGCCAGCAGAGTTAATTGCGCACATTTTCCACAGAATTACATTTTTGCTTAAGGAAGAAGTTTTTAGTAGTTGCGAGTTAAGTGACGTCTTTCATATCACCAAATTGTCGTAAAGCACTTTAGGACTACTGTAGAAAAACTACCTATGTTGGAAGTTACTATTTCTCTAAAAGACTATATTATGATAATTATTTTCTGTCGATCGCTGATGACAAACGCTATTATAGTAAGCTGGAAACCTTATTCTGAATCTTAGCTACGAAGAATCAGCTGCGAAGATGCTTAGTGATGTTTGCGATTATCCCGATATAACATACCAATTCATATTCGGGAAACGCGGAATCCACACATATACCTTGCCGTGGCCCCAATGCTAGGCAATGTGTTGTGCTCCTTGCATACAGAATGCGCATGTAAATCAAACAAGTTCAACTAAAATTAACTAAAAATAATAAATTTCGGCTGTGATACTTTTCGAAATAAGGCACGTTTACTCATATGATGTGGTGCACATGCGCATGGTAAATTATATCACGGGAATTTATTGGTGATAATTATAGATATATTGTAAGTTGTAAATATTTAGCGACTCGATGTTGTGGTAAGCTCGAATGTGAAAAGAGAGCATTAATAGCTCTCTTTAGAAACTGGCTTACGATTATTTTTGTTCCTCGATTGATAAGAATAATGAACGATCATTTTATGCAAAGTTAACTATATGAATTTTTTAAGTTTCCCTTCCAAGTCTCTGGTGTTTGCTTTTTGAGCAACTACATCCTGAAGAATGGTAACAATCTGAGTAAAGATTCTGGACGGCAGGACAACTTTTTGCGATTGACCTTTCTCTAGGGAAGCCAAGAAAACAGCTTCTGCAAAATTAGATTAGGTGACGGGTTGAAAAAGACAGGGTTTTAAAAGAAATGATTGTAATACGACTACTCGCGCTGAGTGAATACAACGATCGACCGGAAGCGAATAGAATTTTCCAAAACGAGTTAGACACAGACGAATATATAGGCGTAATTTTTGCGATTAAATCATCGGATAATATTTCTGATTACAACGATTGACGAACTGGTGATGTTCAAGTTTAATATGCTAAAAAGAAAAACTACAGATGCTGTTCAGCGGAGCCGGGTATTTACGATGTAATGATACCATTTTGGTATCTGTCCATATTTCGGCTTGATATTGATAACCGCAGCGGGAGCTACAGGCAATGCACGTTCTCAACTAAATAAACTATGCCGATCATGTGAATCTCGGTTTTAAGTTGCTCTGCTGACCATTCATGATTCATTCCTAAATACACTAGTCTATAATTTATAATGTTTCGAGATGTTAACGGTCCCCTTTTCTCAGCTTAACGTTTCATTTATTAAGACCTCTTCCGCTGATGGCTTCGCCTGCGACGAAATCTGTCACTCTCCAGATCGCTTTCGAGCAATTCCAACTATGGGTATAGATAACGCTAATTCTCTAGATAAAACTGAAGCACAGCTCATTGTATCCAGGTGTCGCTCTGTTCCACGACAACAATCGCCTCTTTGAGACGCTCCTATGGCAGCAATTTTCGATTACAATAAATCCGGTTTTCCTTAGCTACTTCGTTCATCTTTCCGTGGCCATTGCACTTTTACAGTATAGTATACTTCCACAACTACGAAACGAGGAAGAGAGATAAATGTTTAATGTGGCCAATGCGATATAAAAATATGGCTGACGTGTATTAGTGTCACGTTTGCAAGTGATGCCATAATGCAATTCACAGGTGTGCGTAAAAACTGCTGTTCATCCGAGGCATTGACCGGAGAGTTGTTCTATTATCACTCGAAAGATATCTGTAAACTTATGGCATAAAGCCTATTACATCTTAATTGTAATAGCGATAAAGACCTTAATGGTGATTATAGCTGTCGTCGACTCGATACGTCCAAAATTGAACACCGATAAATCTAAGCAGGGTAATGAGGGACTTATTAGCTTTATCGAGTAAGCATAACGAAGATATTAGTGAACTCGACGTCAAACTTCCCGCTAATTATAGCTACATTGTGTCTTAGTTGCCACTGCGTCCGCTTGGGGAAACCCAACAGGTATGTTTACGTCGAGACGAACAAAGCACAAAAATCTCTTTGGATTGACACTTTCAGGTAATAATAGACGTACACGCAATCTTCGCCCTGCACATTTGTTTTACAGTTGTTGTATTTGATGTGTTGAAGCTATACCCAATCTAACATAGATTATAACGGATATACAGCAATCCCACTGGAATTACTTTGCTTCACTTAACCCGTTACATTTTCTGTGCCTATTTTATTGGCCTACTCTATTATTTATCAGGGAGTTCAGCTAACTTCTCAGCTAATCTCTTCGTGACATGCCGGTCTTTAGTAGACTCGGACACCGTAATTAGGCGGCTTTTTAATTTCATTGATTTGATTTCGAATAAAGCTGGCCGCCGGTCAACCTCTGAATTGAATGCCTTGGGCCAATTTTAATAGATGTTTTCAGTAACAGAATCGGCCACTCTACATATTTTGTCCTAAAAGGGTATTTCGTGATACCACTCGAAGGCTATCGATGAGCCCAATTGAAATGCGGAATCTCAGTTCTTGGGTCGGAAGGCTGTTTGAGAAATTAAAACTTAACATGTTCTATATGAAAAAAGGCTTTCGTGACATTGATCGGCGGACTTCAACGAACTCGATAGATTTAACGAAATCGATATTTTCGAGAGAAATTGCGAAAATTATATTGAGTGCATCGGTCTGGCTATGCAATGACGGGGTGAAAATGGGTTTAAAATGATCATTCAACTGATTCTCTAATAAGTGTGAATCGGTAAGTCGGACAAAAAATATTAATCTCAATGTCACCTAAGCGAGAAAGGAGCTTACGTTTCTAGTCGAAAGATCCATTGAAACTTTAGAATGATATAGTGCATTTGCACTTAGCTCGTCTATCGGCTCATGTAAAGAGTTGTTATTAAAATAATAATTTTCATAAAAACGTATTTTTGTATTTCTCTCAAAAGAATCTCTTAAAAAATATTTTTTAAAATATTGTTCCACAGAAATATTGGTAATATCAACTGCTATCATTTTTAAATTTATATTTAATACAAATTCTCTCAATAAAGCACGCGAAAGTAGTTGGAAACGCATTTTTACCCCACTGACACGTATACATATCCTTCAAACTTCTTAATGTGTTTTCCAATATTTTTCTGCATAATTTTTCATTTCAAGTTTTTATCTTTTTATATGACTGAAAGTGCTAAGTTAAAATTGGCCTACATTTTGATCGCTCATTCGTAAACGTATTTGAAGGATATGCGGTTTAAGAGGCGCTAACCGTGTTTCTATGCAAGCGAAAACGCTTGCGAGAAAACCGTTAGTCGCTCGATCTTAACTCGTAGATATAGGACACAGCAAAAGTCTCTCGACAGTCTGATAGCTTTCATTTTGTATCTGTGCAATGCGTATATATAAATGTAGGTAGGTCATTCTGTAAAAAAGGTCATTTTACATTCAGTTGTGACGTGCAGCTATGAAATTCGGAACAAATTTTGTCAACGATAGAACATCTGCGCAATGTCTGAACGATGCGCCTTTTATTGGAATTATTTTTTAAAAGTACACCTGTATCTATGGATACTCACGATATTCACGCCAATATATATATATATGTATATACATATATGCCATATTATCCTTTGATACTTTTCCATTGATAATATTATAAAATTTACGGCGAAGAGACGTGGATGCCGAGATATCGCAGTTCTGCGCAAGATGCTTGTATACCTAACGAATAAATAGGCAAAATTGTGTTATACAACTTTAAAAATGATTTATTACTAAGTTATTATTATTATTATTCGTTGCATTATTATTAATTTGATTTGGTGTAGTCGTATGTATTTGCCATAAATATGGTCCCCCCCGTTTCCCCCATCACTGGACGATCGATAATCGATTATTCATTATTTTTGTGGTATAATTCAGTCGTTTTTTTCCACTGTTAAAATATTTCAGAACTCTTTTTTTTATTTTGATGTATACAATTCTAATCTAAAAATGAGGTACGTGTTACTTTACTATATTCATTTTATTTTACTTTTTTTTTTCTTATCTATCCATACGCAGATGCAAAATAATTCACCGATATATTTACGATATCACGCTGGTTCATCGAAGAGCTTTTTAGGACAACACACTAACTGCGCGCACATGTTCATTCGACACGGTATCACATTATGGAGGGAGCGTTATCAATCTAATAATGCCCTCGATGGTTCTGGAGTCTGCGGGGTTTTGCTTTTACTCGCGAGCTCGAAGGGCGATTTTGGACCCAAGCGTTTCTAGTTATGCCGCGTGCTCACGGCAATTGATGACCAGTTAAATTGTAAGGTTCCTTGCGTTACGTGGGGTTGCTTGCATGACAAGTGCTTAGCTTTGAAATCATGACCATGTGCTTTAGAAAACTAAATATTTTCGTTTTTTTTTTTCAGATTCTTATTCACACGATGATTCATATACCATTCTTTGTCCGATTTTCTTTAGTTAATCTTAGGATCCTAACACCGTTCGTTTCACCTATTTCAAGTATTACAGTTGCTGTTGTCCTGTTGGATTTTCACATAGTGATTGTTTGTGAGCTCTAATCCCCAACGTATCGAGGTTCGAACTGCTGAAATATATAGAAGCTTACATCAAACAGATGTTAACAATCATATTTCCATTAATTGTACACTATACGGTACGTATAGCAACATTTGTCCAGTCATCGATTAGCAAAGAAATTAGTTGTTCGGTTTGTGTAAGTAACGGTGATTTCTTATCGCGCGTATGGTCACAGCTAGTGTGTAAATTTCTTCTATTCTCAATAGAAAACCCGTTTAAATTGTCGTGTCTTTAGAGAGAGGCATGTTGCAACGTGTTCCGTTGCGTACTTCGTTGCCGTTTCGTTAATGTCGATACCTATTTGAGCTGACGATAAGCCAGTTACCGTCTGAAAATTCACTCTTGCCACCATCTTAGACATTCATTCATTTACACGTGCAGACATTTTTACTCCCATGCACACACACACACACAGACACACTCACACCCACACATTTACGAATAGGATCAATCTTTCAGAGAAATTAGAATTCGCCCAGTTACATCATCTCTATCCATCGTTATTTCGAACTAATTCCTTGTCCGTTAGCTTTATAATGGCTAGAACACGAACGTATCAGTACATATCATTGCTTACTTTGTGGCTGAGAGGTGATTCTTGATTTTTTTTTTCACTTTTATACATGAGTTACTGCGAACACAAATTTCCCGACAACCTCCAGGGCAGCGGTAAACCGATGGCTCTTGGATTTCAACTTAGTATAGTAGACAAACGGGGTATGGTACCACGGTTGAGTGGAACTGCTTTGCGAAAGTTCTCTTTGGACAATTAGGTAATTGTTAATCTTGTTAAAGTATCAAAGTGGTTCTATCCATCCTGCCCATATCGTGAGTCAAGACGAACTTTATGGAACTTGTAGGTAGGATATAACGTACTTGACTAGCTGTCCTGAACAAATTTCATTATAATATAGATTTTTCATCTGTAATAAAATAAGCCTTATCTCAACTGTGGACCATTGGTTTTTCTTGTTGCACTTGTTCATTTCTATTTCTGTAAAAGATACGGCGAATGTGCAAGAATCTATGATAGCAACTCTTTGCTACTTCGTGAATTTCTTGTCATTGACTAACCAAAAATATTGATGCCACAGGCTGACGTGGTGGGTCGTTTCAATTTTAAAGTACTCTTATGTACGGGCTGAGGTTTCAATTGTTAATCGAGGTTTCAGAGTACGAAGCCCTCTGTTTTCTGTTTAGGGACACAATTGTTAACGTCTTTTACACAATTATGAACACAATCTCGACCCTATACTCAACTATTTAGCAAAAACCTCGTTACGCAATAACCTGGTTACCTTCGGAACACGTCAGAGCTCAGCTTCCTAACCCTTTCCTTCAGTTATCGGGCAGGGATTTCCGAGTTTTATCTATATTTGTCATTATGATTGCTATCATCACGTGTATAAATCCATCGTGCGTAAGGGTACAAGTGACTCTCAAAGTAGAAACGAGGTCCAGGCAGCTATCAGAAGCATTCCTCCGTACGGCGTAGCCTGCATCCATTGAGCGCTTTCAGTGAACACGTGCATATAACAGGTTCCAGAAAAGACGACGATGCCAAGAGTAAGTAGAGTTCCAGTCTGGAAAAGACAGAAAAATATACATCGTCTGAAGATGCTTAGCTCCCCTTAAATTATGACAATCATATGTTTATGAATGATGGTTTAGCACTGCGTGATTATACTATGCAAAAGAAGGATTCAGACGACGCGTTAGTAATTATGCAACTCTTCCACACGTAACTGTCGTTTAACGCTTACTCAGCTGTCCTGGTAAAACTACCTCGTCCTTAAGTTTATACTGCGCTAAATTGCAAATAAACTTTCTATAACCGGTTCAGGCGAAGAGCACAGTGTACCGTATTTAGCCGATATTTGGTTTTTTCGAAACAATTTGTGCCATTTATATCGTCTACAATACATTCGACGATATATAACCTGTGAACCTGCCGTATAATAGAACGTACAAAGCCAATAGGAGGATATTCGATCGAGTGACGCTTTATTTAGCGACAAAAAGTACAGCCATGATCATAGGTATATGGGTGCGATTGAGAGCAGCTCATTGTTTTCTTGAAATACGTGTGTCATCGTATGCGCGTCGTAGCAGCGTGTATTAGAGGTGAGTAATAATACAAAATTTAGTAAACGCCGGAAATTATGCTTGTTTTCATTTGCTGCATAGCCAGTTCACTTCTTTATTCGGCAATATAATTGAGACTGTACAAAAAATTTATTGAAAGCTTATTACCTTCAGCGTTGCGAGCTTTCAGCTTTTACACGATACGAATATACGTAACTAAATGTCAAGCAGTTGTTGCGCTTCGTACGATATTTTCTCATTTCGATTAGAAACTGAATCAATGAAAATATCTAGGTTTTCTATCAGCCACAGACCGCTCTTCTTTTCGTTTACGGCAAACCGACGTAGCTACACCCTTATAAGTGCTAGTATCTTCCCACTAGCCGTGCACAACGTCGACCCGAAAACTATCTAATGGTCCAATTATCAACGTGCTATCCAGTTTTTCTTCATCCCATGAATACCGTATCCAACACAGAACATCCCAGCAACGTTTTTGGCCCTACTGTCATTGGCCTATTTTTCGATCAATTTCGTTACTTCGATCGATCGCCCGTGCTAGATGCGATATCAGAAGAAACTCACATTTATTTACCAAGCTTTCCTTTAATTTTGACGTCGTCGACGATCACGGTTAATAACTCCATCGATCATTAACTAGCACGGTCTAATGAGCTACCCTAACACGTACAAATTGCAGGATTTCGTGTTGGCGGGTTATGTTTAAACATTCGATAACAGCACACTGCCAATTGAGTCGGTGAAGAGAAAACAATCGATATGTAAACATGGATACCGCCTTCCCTTTCCGTGCTCACCAATATGTTGATACTTTGGCAACCACGCGAAGTGACCTCTGTAACGCACATTCGAGAGGAACGACCGCTATAAAATTTTGTCGTCATGTTGTTGTTTCCCTTTTTTCGGTGAGCGGAAATGTGCGCCAATCTCACCGACGTTTGAAGGGCTGAGGTTGTTAACAAAAAAAAGGCGGCTCACCTGATAATTTTCTGCAGTCTGGAAAGAGTGTTTTGTCTATCAGAAACGATTTGGGGGAGATAGTTAAGCCTAACTATCTGCCTCAAATTAGGTACTATAACCCAAATGTTTTACGTTGTAAGTAACGTAAAAATGCTTCGTATTAACGCAGAGCATGACTTTGAGAGTTGACCTCTCAAAATAGATGAAAAACTTTTTTGGGCGATATCGAAGATACCAATGGCAAAGCAAATTTTGTGGCGTGCTAATAACGCAAACAAATAGTCAAAAATTATAAACGCGAATGTCCGGTTAAAGTTATAATAATATTGCGCCCACCGTTCTAATTCTGTTCAATCACGCAACTATTAAGATACTGGTAAAAAAAAAACGTCTAACTGCAATACACACGCGATACGAACAACATCTTTGAGTTTGAGAATTTGAGCGAATCAATTTGAGGAAAATGTTTAATAAAAAAGAGGAAGTGTACTTCGAGCAAACCTATCGGATTGAAATTGCAAGGTAAATTTGTAGCTATGACTGAAACCAGCAACTTTCGGTGCTAGTTAACTTGCATCGAGCGGGAGGTTCTCTAGGGGACGGAACAATAACTGTAATAATAAGTTATAAGCTAGTGCACCAAGGTAGTTCAAGTATTACAAATCAATGGATATTGCCACATTAAACATTATCTTTTCTATCATTATTAGCACGTTATTCTGTAATTTCCAATACCGTCAACAATATGAGCTCTGGCATGACCGCTGTTACTCCCGGACAGTCGACTCATGCCAAGTAATAAATCGTTACTAGACTTCTGTCTGTTTATATATATACACTTCACACCTTTATATGGTATTATGTAGTATTAATTTAAGTACGCGGTCTCCCAACCATCATATCGTTATTGACCAATTCAACCGCCACTATTCCAAATGTCGTTATCATTTCCATCGATTTCCGGTTGTCCTCACCGAACTCTCCATCAAACAAGGTCTCTCCAACACAAGCATATACATACATCTACATGTGAACCCTCGAACAACTCGTTTTTCATCAATCATCTCAACAAGCATGGTCGCCAGCGGCCATTACCAATTCCTATCAACATCCGAACGACTTGCGGATTATCCAGTACAGTACCATCTACATTAAACAGTGTCGGCCATTACTCATCTATTGCTTGTTTTTCTTTCTATCTCCCTCTATATTTGGCTTATTTTCTCTTCGCACGCGGTGGGGCTTGCGAGCGTTGGCCGTCCCCAGGGGCCGATCTTCTTCTTCATACAGGAAGCGACGGCGCAAGAAGCTTGTCGCTGACGGTGGAAGTGTACCTGCGCATCCGCCTTTGCAGTGACTTGTCGTTCTGAGGGCTGCTGTCATTGAGGATCCGTAAGCGGGCAGTAGTGGCGAAAACGATTCGAAATCGACAAAGATGAAAGAGATTTTGATGGAAATCGTAAACAATTCTTAATAGAGCCGGTATTGCGGGACTAACAGCAAGCCGCGGAAACACCGCGATGTTAAGCGGTATTTCAGCGGTTTTCACATCAACGTGAAGGGGTATGGGAGGTCCATGGCTGATTACTGCCTTGCAAGTATTATACTAGTAACTTCGCTATCAGGAACGAAAAGCAGAGATAACTTTCTCGCGTTTATATGGTGAACGTTTAATGGGTGTGCTTGGTGTTCGCCTAGATGGTGTCGTGGAGCTTCTTCTGTCATGAAGCGAGCAGGCGATGAAGAATACAGCTGAACTCAAGCCATTAGTCACAGCTTTTAACTGAAGTTTGAATAAATTTGCATCTCTCTGTCCGGTTGAACTACTAAACGCATACATGGATTGTTCTACCGTATACCAGCGAGTAACGGAGTGTATGACCATCAGTGGAACAGCAAACGCCAGGGTGAAGTACTTTAAAGCTTCGGATTGCGTCACATCGCTACATAGCTACTTCACTTTTTCGACGTAGTTATTGGAATGGCTTCTACTTTGGAAGATATCACTGCAAAGAGGCCCACGACATTATGGTGATTATATTGAAGGCTTTTTAGATATGCGTCGTATATACGCGAAGTATGCGTTTTTACGATACCTATAATGTTCGCTGCGCTCTGGCAAAAATCAGTCATCAAGGTAAAATAAATAAACACGAATAGTCGCTAAGATTCGTGCAACAGGCTACCTTCACCGCATAGGCATCAGACACATAAACAAGATCAAAGAGGCTTTTAAGGTTATACTTCTAAACGTGATAGGAAGTGTCGCAAGTTACCCTATAACCGCTGTTACCTCATAATCAGTGCTCTTCCGTTTTAACCTTCTTAGAAGATCTGATCAGGATTATTGAATAGATCTACGTATTTTACGTGTTCTATCAACAAAATCGTGTGTGTGCGTACATAATATGCCTTGCAAGCTTCATATTACAACAGAAATGCACAACAATTTACTAGTCTAGATGCACTAGTTTGTGCTCGAGCACCCTCCCTCCCCAAGAAAATAGAAGAGACAGAACGAAGAGCATAATACTCTACGACGAAGATAATGTAGTGATCTTATTATACATTGAATTGACAATAAATATTGATTTGTTGTTGCGCTGCCCCCAACCGTCAATGACGAAAGTAAATACTATATCGCGACAAGGCGCGACAAAGGCAGTACTTACCAGGCGGGGATACCTGGAAAAAGAGACCATAAACAGAAGAAGCGTATGAAGGAAATGGTAAAGGTTGGCTGCGTGAAAGATTGTTGCCATTCCACCCGACGGTTTGAGAACTGCAAAATCACATATGCAAAGTAAACCAGAAAAAATGTTAGACATCATCATAGGCGACACAGCAGTGCAGCGCGATCCATATGTAGAATAGGTACAAATCACAGCTAAGGACATCGAAGAAATAGCAGAGCTGATACTACGGTAATATCGAAACAGAAAAAGAATATCGAAATAGATCTGTTCTATTTCGGACTAATTTACTAAGTCATAATTAGATGAATTGATCAAATGTGTTGATTATTGATTTTTTACGTATGTATCTATAAATACTAATGATCTAGTTAAATTCAATTTGCTAAACAATTACTATTGCGCCTTACCCTTTTTCATATATCTATAAATACGCTATACGTTTATTGAACAGTATTTTAGTGTCACACTATTAGTTTTCCCTGGTTTCCAAAATCACCACGCTAATATGTGTGGTATCACAAGCCAGAAATCGTCAGCAATCGAAATGCACGTCCACAAGATGCGATGGTACTCAGCTGCTCAAATCCGACATCTGAAGTTTTTACCACGCAATGTGTGCGACGATTAATGGCAATTGCGCACAAACTAAAATGTAACTCAGTGCTGCTTATGATTCAGATTATAAAGAGCATGACGTCGATGCCTAACGCGCGGATAAAGGATATAGACTAGAAGAGAGAATCGAACCCGATTGACGTTGCTGATACCAGAATCCGAGAGCTTTTATTCCACTGTTGTTAGCAGATTACTGCCGCGACTGTGGCGCTACCTAATTTTGCCGCTATGCCGCTGATGACAATGAATACAGTGGGGGCCTCTCATTTCGGCGATATTCAAACACTCGTCACGAACCAGGCCGGGCGAAGGTAGATTAGAGGCCCTGCTTGTATAAATGAGACACGTCACACCATCGCCTGAACCCCTGCTTTGCTGTCTCCAGAAACATGAATTGTTGCTGTTATTGTTACAAATGTCATTTTCATTTCAAGACTAGAGAATTTGTCTACTTTGAAGTTTAATTGCATAACAGGCCATTCTAAGACGAAGCTTCGCAAACGTCTTTGTCAACAAAATAGCGCATAGCATGCTGCAATGACTTTGGTATTCTTAGTTTTATTACCATAAGCGTAGTGGTACTATCTTTTATAATAAAACAGTAAACAGGGTAATTAAGCAAGAGAAGCACATCGAAATTGTCAGAGATAACAGTTTCTTATAAAACAACGATCTCTTCAACGTGATGTATGCCTATCCTCTTTTTTTTTTTCTTTTTTTATATGTCAAAATTAGCTAAGGCTATTTGTTAATGAACTATACGATCAGGCCTTTTGGCTATGAAGGTCGGATGGCTACGAGGCCAATCGCGCATCTCACCGTTTCCACAGTAGTAGTAGTAGTAGTAATTTCCGAGAGACTCGGAGCTAAAAGTAATGAGGCGCTCCAGGCCAAGGATCCGCCACCAACCCGAACACCTAACGACGTCCTTTCAATGACGTCCAATTTGTTGTTTCTCACAGCCTCTTAATGATTTCGATGGCAGCGTAGAATAGCTTCCGCTCCCTCTAATCTCTATCCGATCTCGATTCGAATCGTTCTTCTTAGTTCTACGTTTATATGCTCTGTTCTGCATCCATCTTCGCTTCTAATCTCTAACGGTGCCTCCCCCGCATCCAGCCTTACTCAAGCAATCTCAAATGTCTTCTCTTAACCGAGTTCGTCCTATTCGTCTATGAAGGACACAACACATTTGTTCTATGGACGTGCCTCAAGGGGTACTATTTTATCTTCCTAGGCGAACTCCTACGACACAGCTGAGCTGGGGCCCTGCCTTGAATTTCTTTGGTTGCCTCGTCCGGCTCGTAACAGGCCTTTTACTCGCTGCTCATAGACATTCTCGTAATGTATAACTGTATCTATTACGTATCTATCTGTTCCAGAAAAAAAGAAGTGTCTTACGTAGCAACATCGCGGAAAACAGGTTCAACTCACTCGAAAGCTTTATAAGAAAACGTCAGAAATAGAGCGCAATGTCCGATTATATCAATACTAGGGTCATTTGTCCGAACTCTGCGAGACGCCAGTTGGCTGGAGTACGGCACTAAAGCGAAACATGGGCATAGTACATAATGGCCTCAGACACCTTTTAGTTGGTTGTGATCACTAAATCATAGGACATCATGTGCTGACTAACCTCGTACCACAGACAACCTTTTACGCAAAACACAAACGTACCTAAAGTATCCGCTAGGACCAATATACATATAAGGCAAGGCCCAAAAAACTTCATTTTTTTTTTTTACCCTACAAAGGCACGTGCCCACTGTTGAGAAGCTTTCGAAAACCCCTATTCAAAGGTTGCTGTAAACAGCGATCTCGTATAGAAAGGAGGGTCATCACTGCGCAGCGACTGTGATTTTTCAGATCAAGTGCGAGAGACGATTAGCAGCAATGAAAACAGTTTTGCATGAGCGTCACGAAATCGTTTCCTCGAAGAATTTGAATCGACGTAGACGGAGCAGAAAATACGCCCGCTCCCGTGAGCTCCCGGGTTTGTTCGAAAGACGAGGCGTATCGTTGTCATATAGATTCAAAGCTCAGAGAGAAAGAGAAGGCAAAGTGCAGCAACGGAGTGACACCGTCCGCATAAAAGGACTCCCGAATTGAATGAGGCACCGGTCTATTGCTTTATTCGAAGCAATATGAATGCAGAAAGAAGTCTATCCCGTCGAAACAGTGCCAGATGTGTGTTTTACTATTTGAATGGTCACGCATCAAATGACGCTGAGTCCCCATTTCGAAACGATCGAGTGACGATAGAGCACATGTTCACAGCTGAATAGCGAATTTACCTAAAAGCAGAAACACGCTGTTCAGAAAAGGTAAATTGAATTAGTACAGAAAACTAAGGCCAATTCGTGAACGTTTTTTCAATTCTCAATACGCCTGAAAACAAGGACCACAGATGATTAAAGGCTCATCGAGATTGTAGCGTTTGTACACATAGGCCGTAAGAGAAAATACTGAAAATTAGACGCAACATTCGAATTCGAGAGAAGCAAGCATGGGCAATAAATAAATAATTTAGCTCAAGAATAAAGAAAGTGTAATGTACGGGACAGATACGTTTAATCGCCAAGTATACCCAATATAATAGCTATTATAGCCAAAGTTGTTCTAATGAAAACGCAGATGCTGTTCTACGCAGAGTACATATTGGGTTCAAGAACATTGATATTATACTTCGTTGAGCCTCTCGTCCTGAGATTCCCATACCATAGTACACGTAACCAGATTATGGCGAACTTTTTTAGGACAGAGTTTAATCTGTGGCTACAATGAAATCACATCAGCCCTATATTGCCGTTGATTCGGCTTATCGCCACCCAGTCTAGGTCACGGACATAGTAAGCAGGACGACAAATAAAATGTGCGCGAGGAAATGTAAACGTCTGAAACAAAGATACATTGGAAAGGGGCCAACGAAACGTAATTAAACAACTATCAAGTTGAATACTAAAGCAATATAAATAAATTTTTCAAGTTCGTATCGATCGTCAATAAACATAGTGTACTGGTCGCGATCTAACATAGCTCAGCTAGAGTTCCCGCACCTTCAGAGGGCAGGCAAAATCTTTGCTTAGCAGTCTTTGAACTGTTAGAAAATGGCTTGATAGTTTCATAGTGGATGGTCCGGCAGCGCTCAATAGCGAAGCCGTCATCATGTAAGCGCTACTATCTTCAGTTCGATCATTTCACGCCGCGTCTAGCGCACACAGTGACAGACTAACAAACAGGTTGAAACCTATTGGTACGAAGGTCGTGTGAAAAACTTGGGGATTTGCGATGCGCTGGCGAGCATTAACAGAATTGGCAAGAGCCGAAGGTTCTGATATAACAAGTATGAACGTCAGGCGCTATCACGGGTGAAGATGCCGTGCTAGGCAAGGGTCAGTCATTACCGCAAAATAATGATAAAACAACTTATCGAAGTAACCTCACATCCATGTACATGTCGTCAACTACACGACAGTCAATGAAAAAAGAACTAGAATTTGACATTATATCTTTGGATTTGAAAGGCGGTAAAAAGGCTGTCTGGATAACCTTCGCGCACGTGTCATTCCCACATATTTTTCTAGCCAGATTTTCCTGCTGTTTGACAAGTAGCAAATGCGAAACTCTCGCAGCTTGTCTTCGAGCCTCGCACCTAATGCTCGAATCTTTCCCTTACAGCTCGAAATTTATTAGTAATGTTAGAAACTATTAATTGTTAACAGTAACTGAAGATGGACACCGGAATAGTATTATCACGACATTAATAAATAGAGCGGGCCCGTTTAAATTAGCTGTGTTTATCGGAACCTGGGTCCGTTCGACCTGATCGGTTCATATAAACATACCAAATATAATACTTCATCATGCTATGGGCTCGCCCCATATTGCATGGGCTATTCGAAACGTCTTATTTGATCTTCTTAGGGAAGTTTTGTGTGTCGTTGCATGGTACTTGAACAGCGTCAGCTCATTATCTCTTTTCGTGTCGTTGTGATCGAAAAGCGTTGGCCTATTAAACTTGAGACACCACGCGGCAGTGCATCTCCGAATCTGGGAGTAGATGTGCTTCGTCCTGCACTGGTAGAAACCAGCCTTCTAATGTCCGAACGTAAAACACGAAAAATACTTCTCGTTTTAAACTCGCTTCGGACGACCTACGGTCTACTAATAGCTTTCACATGTATATATATATTGAATGCTAGCAAGCGGTACCCTTATAGGTTCTCTTCTGATAGAGTGCAACATAAAGCGGACAGTTTTTGACTTTTTTGAACGCCTCATAGGTCATAGCGATTTATTTTTCGCGCATCTTAACATGCGTTCGTTTAGTAATCCAAAGAGAATACATCATCGGCACCCGCTACCAACGCTTCCTCGAACGCCATTGCCTCCGCAGTCAGAGCCATCTCAGACAAATGAACTCTGCCAGAGCTCTCATTACTGGTAATACTGCGGTTACCTACTATAGCCAGTGCGCGATTGCTATTGTACGAAGAACCCAATCCGATATGAGCTTTTCTCGACCCGATACGTTTCGATGAGTGACAGATGGCAGAGTGAAATTGTTTACTATTCACTAAATCTCCCATGAGGATTTGCCACTGTCTAAAAAGAAGATTTTCATTCCAGCTTCCCCTTTTCCGACGCCTTATGACGATTGATGAAGCATAAAGAAGGCTAAAGGCTCTACGTAATCGACTAGCATCATAGCCTACCCTCCATCCTGGCCTGATCACGTGTTGCGGTGTGATGAAAAAAGAACAACAAAAAGAATGGACGTTGCCGGAGAGAGGGAACCATTAAGGAAGTGCCAGAGGCCAAAAATAAACGATGGAACGATTAGCGATGGTGAATTGAGCCGTTATAGAACTTATGATTGTAGAAGTGATCTTCGGTTTTATTAGTAACGTTATAATGATGTTAGTTAACCCAGCGTGTGCAAGGTCTTCATTACGTTGCAGTAATCACAGTAAACCGAGTAGTGGGCGAACGACTACCGGGCGTGTCCCGCTGAGACCGCCGGCCATACGAAAATACAACAATGGCTACAGCTACGGACCAAGAGGCAACGCCGGCAGACACAATAGCATAATAAAATGATAATGGAAATATTTAAAACCTTCCCGATCGTATTTATGATGATGGCAGTGTAGGCGGGGAGGGGGGGGGGGGGGCTGGGCAAGTAACAACGATTTTTTTACTTCAACAGCAGCCACTGAATTACGACTGTTTTGCGGTGACTATTCAACGAAAAATAATATATTGAAGAAACGAAGCCAAAATATCTACCGCCGACAGACAAACAGACAAACACCCCCGAAGAACATCATCGCTAACAACAACAACAACAACAACAGCAACAGCAGCAGCAGCAGCAGCAGCAGCAACATCAACGACAACAACGCCTGGAAAGCGCTACTAACTTTAAAAAGAAGCAATTTAACCCTAACAAAACGACAGCACACAACAATTCCGAATTGTTTAAGCCGTATTGCTATTTGTCCTAGACTCAGTTAACACGCGGACCCCGGCAAAGTTCAAGGAAACAAAAGGCAAAAAAGAAGGACATCCTCATCATCACAAGGAAGGTCCGTGGACGGCATCAAACTCGCGACTAAGATATTCACAGCATTGTTTTCAATATGCATTACTGTTTTATGCCTATGCTATACAATGGAAGGCGGAAGCCAACTAGTTCGTGATGTGACCGCCATTATATAACGGTTTGTTACTGAGATGGTCCGTTAACTTCCCTGCTCTGCTGGTGATGGGCAGAAGCCGAGTCGGCCGGAGCCCAAATCACACCCCATTCACAAAACGAATTGCCCTACTGGAAGTAACAGTCAGAGAAAGCAATTTAAACATGATGTTATCAGATAATCAGTCGATGACAGTCGATAAAATACACACACACACACATGTGAGCTATGGCGTACGCTATAAGGAACGAAAATACTTACATTTCTAACCAAAGATCTAGGTAAATAGATAAACGAGAATAGCAAATGGGCCACGACAGTGGACGACGCCAATGCAATGAATGGCACGATTCATTAATCCCATAATCGATCTCAAAAGGAAATGATTTCATAGCGGATCGGTGCAGCAGCAATACTAATAGTAATCATGATTATAACGATAACAGTAGCAAATAGAGGGCATCCGACTAAATAGCCACGTGCGACAAATGCCTATTTGATGTAGTGACTGGGGACGAGAGTGTCGTGAAATACCGTAGGCCGGCTTTGTTCAATGGAGTCACCGCGGTTAGGTGCGATCGAAAACGCCGATTACGATCTGCAGCGGGCGCTGAGAAAACGTCAGCACGTGTTATCAGTGATACGGGTCAATATCCAGGATAATAATATATAAGATTAGAGGGTGTCGTTAACCCGTATGTCGAATAGCAGTGACTGTAACGCTGTTTAGATGCTGGACACGTAGTAAACCGTATTATATCACTAGCTCGTCGAAGCGACTTCTGCGGCGACGTCATTTTCAATCGGTGACACCGCGGGCGCTGCAGCTAAATTATATGAGTTGACCCAGTGACAATCACGAGCAATGTTCTTTTTCTTCCGGAAGAATCACTCTTCAGCCAATCCGAGGCCAAATATTATCAAACAATTAACGATTCGCTTGTATGCAAATTACAATAGTAAAAATAAACATTTTACGCTCAAGTTAGGAGCCCGAAATTGTTTCCGGGGGCAAGAGGTTTAATAACTAGTGACAATGTCGCACGTTCATGTGAGGCACGATCTACCGTATAGTAGAATGGGATAGGACATTAAATCTTCCTTTTTAATTGAACTACGTAATACCTTGATTTTTAGGACAAGTATTGTGTTATATGGGTTAATCAAAAAGTACAGGTGTTCATGGAATCCTTTGCGTCTTCTGCACGCATGACACCTAATGTTCACAGATTCGTTTCGCGCCATAACGTTACGAACTATGATACATCTTGAACATTTGCTTCGTCACGTGCCGCGTGAGTAGAAGGCGATAGCCATTAAATATTCCGCTTTGAGACTCAGGCAAGTCCCGTTTTGAGCTGGAAGGGGTCAGTCGTCTAAGGCTATGCTTAACAACGGTAGTAGAACCTGATACAATTTCGAAGCGTTTAGGCAGGGGTGGGTAAGTGGCGTGGAAAGATCCGAAGCTGAAAATATACGTTTAAGAGAGCTTTATTACCACCTTTGGAACAACCCTATATCTACCCTATAAGTTTCTTATGCCTTTCGATTTAATCCCGATTTCATTTGAAAGAACCAGCTTTAGGGTAGAAATAACACCATTAGAGATTCGTTGTCATTCAATCAACATCGAAATATTGTGATTAGCATAGTGTCTGTGAGTCGTAGCAAACCAACTATACCAGAATTAGGGGACTACTTAGAAACCTCACCATGGGCTCCATAGGCGCCAAGGGTGACTGCAGAAGCTCCAAGGAATGCCGCAATCCTGATAAACAGCGTTGGAGGGCAGAGCGCATATCGGGGGGGCAAAAGGATATCTTTTCCTTGCGTCGGATCCGCTGAAGTGACTACGCCAGCATCTGAAACATTAGACAAAAAAACTGTATAATCTTATGCAAAATTCGACAGCTAACTACTAGCAACATGAAATACAATACTACAATATAATAACGCCATATATTATGTTTATTAGACATAAAGGAAAGCTATCAGTGCAGAACTAATAATGAAAGATGCAAAAAAATTCATCTATATTGAAAGCTGGTTTTTCGTAGGTTAGTTGAACCCGTCGAGGCGAGTCGCTGTTAACGTCAGTGCTTCATAACTCGGGCTATTGTGAAGCTAACGAGATTTTCTTCAACCCTCCGCATCAACACTGCACAGCGGCAATTGTTCTCAGCGGCAAACCGCTCACAATTAGTGCGCTGCAGGAGCCACTATATATAACATCCGTTTTACGTTATGGTGAAGACAATGACGGACCTAGTCGTTAACAGCAAGCCTCTATCAAAGCCAACTTCGCTACTTGCCAATTGTCGCAACTCTATTTTCGTATCGCCTATAGGATCAACCGCCAAGTAATTTAAGTGTTTATACACAGCAATGTTATCTCCTAGACAAGAGATAGGCTTTTTCGTCGCTTTTTCTTTTGTTTGACATAACGTCGCCCCAGTAAAATTTTCCGATTAAAGCCGATGCCTCACCGGACCCTTCAACCATTTATGTTTGTAAAGCAAAGTAAAGCAATCAATAACCAAGTAAAAATAAAGAGCAATTATCTGGCGTTTCGTCATAATTTATGCAGATTTAATTGGGCGTCGAAAAAATTACTGCACACATAAATAGCGGCACTAAATACGTTCTGGTAGATAGATGAAATGAAAAATTTCACGTTATATTCACATACACACAAAAAGAGCAACAATACGTTCGATGAAATATAAAAAAAAGTCACACAAAAATGCTTAGATAGTTTCGACAAGTTCGAGATAATATGCCTATTCAACCCCCACATTGCGCCACATTATCGATAATGTCCGTGGAATACGTTTTTTTTTTCACGCCGAATGTCATCCCCTTCTGTCTGATTTATGATAATAACGGTTTTTTTTGATTGACTGCTGTAAAAATCACTACTTACAGCAATTCATATACTGCGGTATTTTGTGGACGTATTACGGTTATAAGATATAGTAACTAGAAAATCATTTGTAAAAGCACGACTAAGCGTCTCGCTGTTAGGTGTGCTAAATTGGTAAACGAAAATAATTTATAATATAAAAGTATCTCAGATGCCGACATTATCGTGTCAAGGAAAAAGCATCTAAATTTACCCGCTAAAATATCGGCCACGGCCAGCATGGTCCATATCATTTGACCATCACCCGAAAAAACTGTCAATGTCTGAATAAACATCGGGCTAAAATATCACTCACCTCAATTATCATAGTGACTTGCCAATGTTATCGCTAGATTTGATGTTAACGATTCAGCGAATCTCAGCCGTTTACCATCATAACTGTGTGACGGCAGTCACGTGAGCCAACCGACGAGCTAGTTGTGCGAAGGACCCGTCAGGTGGCCTAGGTTCGAAACCGAACGTGGACACTTTGCACCGGAAGAAAGGAACCACTCGTCCCAAGCAAGTCCCCGATGTAAAACTCGAAATCTCACTTACTTTCTTCTAGAAGCTGTTTGTCTGGCCTTATTACGACGTCGAAAAATTTCAACTGTGTTACGAAGGGTACGAATCAGGGCGGACACAGGCAAAATCGATTGCGCAATACGAACAGTGAATACAAATAGCAAGTTACTCGGGAACGTGATTTTTTCTCAGATCAAAACCTATCATCACATGAGCTCGATTCATAGTTTTACAGCGGGCCGCACGAATTGCAGTAATCAACTTCATTAACATTGATTGTAAAAAGCTACGTAGAACACCATGTCGAAGCTATAATTCTAACTCTTATTTATGAGAGCTCAAAGCTGTCTTAGATCAATAACTGAATGTTCTAATGATTCTATCTAGAACTGACTTTGGTTACGCTCAAATTCCGAACCGTCCACCGCTAGTTACCGGATCACGTTTGGGTCCAGCGATCAATGGAATCACACTGTTCTATTTACATATTCAATTCCAAATGTCTTCCTTTCGGGAACAACATTAAACAATAATACATTGTATTAATCAGTGGCAGCCAGCTCGAACTGTCGTATGCATATAATAATAGGCGGTAATACAGATTCGCCTTATTCTCACCAGGCATCACTGCAATTATCTCCTGCTCTCCTATCCATATTTAGATTCGACCTTCTATGTATATACTATTCCTTACTCTCGGTACGGTTCGACTGTTTTCCCTGGTCCATTCGATCATTTTCTCTTTCGTTATCGTTGCCGTAATAGCGTTATGAGGCGTTCCGGCTGTTCCACAATAATAACTATTATGCCATTGTTATAGTTTTTAATCATAATGTTGTAGCTCTCTTCCCTCACGAACATCTTCTATATAGTCCTCGTTTTCTGTTGTACCCTTTATCAGCATACCTTGCCCATCATCTTCAACATCACGCCAGTTGCCTTACCATCCGCCTAATCACTTTGCTACTTTTGCCCGTCTTTAAAGTTAAACGCAGACGTATCAAAAAGAAGCCCGGAGCGCTGTTCTACGGGCAAGTCAAAGGGATAAACAGTGGTAGTAACAGACGACGCGGTCTGTTATATAAATAAGCGTAGCGGAAACTGTCGGCCGCGCCATTTGCTTAGCGGATAGTGATGAATGTTTTTGGTGGGAGAAGACACTGACGCTTCACTCAGTTATCCATAATCGATACATCCTTAACAGGGCCGATGTCGACGTTAAGAGCACAGCCCGCCATGTTGAGTCGGTGGCGTTACACGTGACAGGTCGTAACAACGTTATACCACGAAGGCAGTAGTTAACGGGAGAAGGTCGACGAAGAAGGGCGATTGCATTTTGATATTTTGCTTGTCCACAAGACATTTAGTTCTTTTGGAGGAGTGCCCCAATGTTTCGACTCGGCAATATACAGAAGTGAATTTTTCTGTTTACCTTGCTATTATGATAAAAATAGTTTCGAGATAAGTTCTGTACCGTACCATAAAATGTGGAAGGTTCCCGGAATTTTGGTGAGATACTTCAAAAAAAAATCTAAGATCCGCCAAAATACCAACATGTATTGATTCTCTATTTTTTTAATGCTTATTATGATCGACGGGAGCCTATTTTTACTTAATAATTTCATGATGCTATAAAATAAAACGTTTTCAGCAAACTGTTGCGTTCGTCCTGCCTGCGCCAAGCCCGTGTCGCATCGGTCTGTTTTCAATCTGCGCAACTTCTCAGCTGCAATCTATGGCAAGACCTGTGCTACCTGCGTAGACTACAATGCGTGTGCTATTAAGCTAACATTATCTCAGGAGTGACGCCGAACGCTCGTTGGCCCCCTGACTTTGTTGGACACCGAAGGATTCCGAAGGTGGAAGTAAACTGTACTCTGGTGGTGGCAATTCTTGACTTGATAACGATAGCCACTGCTATATACGATTTCAATAAAACGAAAGGGGCCAAATTCACCGAGGGACATACAAATGTATACCTCTTCATCAATTATTTTATTCTGTCCTATCGTCATTGACGGCTTTGCAACGCCAATTGGCAATGGTTCACAGACAATATCGTGACACGATTGGTCAGCTACGATCAACGCTGACTAGATTTGGAAGTTCCATGATGTCACTGAATTTCATTTTTGAATCACTATTTATTAGGCATACGTCGTACGTTTCTGCAGATGTCGATAGCTGATACACGAACGGAGTTAAGGCCGAGCGGTTGTTGGCGACGAGCTGGCTGCATCGGAAAGCTCGACTCGAACTAGGAAAACAACGCGGGTTGTCGTCTTCATTGGCCTGGCTCTAGTTGTTATCGTCGTAAATACTACTACAGTTCTCAGAGTGAGATCACTGTATAAATATAAACAGCCGCTGCTTTTGGCCTTTTCATCTACCTGCTTAGATGAGACCTGCTGCGCTGCAAAATACAGTTGACCGTTTGTAGACAAATTTCTAATAATATAGGCAATGACTAAGCAGCTATGCTGAGTTCGTTTTTTATTGAGAAAATATAGACGAAATAGGCCTTTGCCTCCCGCATGTATATATATGTAATTTTCAAACATGTCCTTCACAAACACCGATAACGGTAACGCTCAAAACAACTGACTGAACCTTTTGCTTCTGTAGGATTTGTCTAAGGTTGATTTTTGCTGATAACACCGTTTTCTGCTTTACTTTATTCATTATTTAATGCCTTATTAGAACAGTGACGATTTAATTAGTTGGAACTAATTGTAAGTTTTACCAATGGACAGCAGCTTCTCTAAATTTTTTCGGGAAGTTTGTCTATTCGTTAGCAAGCTTGTTCCCTGGAGAACTGGCGCACCACTATTGCCGACAATGTTAAGATACTATTATTATTGCTATTATAGTTAATGCATCGTTATTTCTAATTATTGGCTTCGGCTTTGTTGCTGTTCTCGTTGTTTGATCACCACTGATTATTTAATTGGTAGCCATTCGTCTCGATTATGAGGCTTCCTCAAAATGTCCCTGCTTTCCAATATAAAGCCATTTCCTAGAGAACCTGTCCCGTGTCCTTGTCACAGCCCAGTTTAATAATTTCTAGTTCTTTGTTCACTTTTCCTCGAAAAGCAATCTAGTCCTCTACCGAACACCTCGTTTTGTCTTGCCCCTTTGCCAACGTACGACTTGTGTATCTGTTTTACGCTAGAGGCCCATTTCCATTGTTATCAATTATGTGCCATGTCAACTTAGTTACGAAACGGCCATTTTTGCAAAAAATGACCAACCGAAAGAAATTGGTTTTACCCGTCGTGGTAATATTCGCCCTTGGGTATGTTTCGACGTAGACATCATGCCCCATATATATATAATTAGAAAAACTATTGTATCGTTTTTGTTTTCATGCTGCGCACGTCATTATGTCGAATCGTTATCATTTAGACTGAGATGGCTACACACACCAACATTTCC